AGAAAAGCATGTAATGATGTGTGCACGTATAGTATTTGCAATTCTGTCTGTTTTCCACGAAATTTCTATTTGCTAATCTCGTTTTTTGTGACCTTGCATGCACATGCGGAAAGGGTGGTTATGCGCCTCCCTGACGAGCAAACAAGGATGTACTCCTTCGTTTCTCACTTTGCCTCCATGTGTGTACACACCCCTAACGGCTACTTGTGATCAGAAACCGCAACTGACGCAGGCTTTGTACCGCTGCCCTAGCCATCCTTACAACACCTTCCTGCGAGCTCTGTTTCTCCCTCTCCAACCTGTTCTAACCTCGCTCCTCCCTGTCTGTCTACTCGCGTGTACGAACGTATTTTGGTGTTCTAATTTGACCTTCGAATCAGCAGACCCGTTAAATGGACAATGCACTGCTCGAATGCGCTGGCTAGTCCAAACTATGCATGTTGTGCGGGACGTGTCGCCTCCCACGAAAGTGAGAAGTGTTCGTCTCAGCTCCGTCTCCATGTGGCTCCTCTGCTGCCTGTGATCCGAGTCCGAGACTATCACGGTGGGTCAAGCGCCGTAGCTTGAATGGTTGCTAACTGACGGGATAACTTGGACCTCGCAGTCGGCTCGGTGTTATGTGTTGGCATGGAGCGGCCGACTGGTGGTCTGAGAGTCAGGCTGCAATGGCTCCACTCCGCGGGATCCTAGCCAGGTGTGGTGGCACGCCTGGGTGCGGCTTCGGCCGCGCCAGTCCCTTCTGTTATTGTTGGTTAAAATCCGGATCGTTTGCTGTGCGGACTAGGGGGTGTGGAGTGGAGTGCCAAGGTGGGGGCACGACCGTGCCATCGACCTGCGTCCTCCCTCGCCCCCGGTCTTCTGGACTCTGTCTTGGCACCGGGTTCAGGTGGAGGAGGAGAGAGCGGTAGACGCTGAGCAAATCTACTATTGCTATACACTAATTCATGCACAACTCACCGTCCCTGCTCTATCTTGCCGTGGGGCACACGGTAGACCTCTTCGGAAACGACTGTCGAACTATCGGGTCACCAGTAAAGGTGACAATACGCAAAGTTTCATGTGCAGTCAAACTTTTTCTCATTATGCATGAGTTTGGGGCAGAAAATTCTAGAGTCCCAAAGACTGAACTCGTGAAGGTGTGACTAATATTTTATTAGAGGGCTTCTTCTCTGAATTAAGTCTTAGTACTATCCGGATTTAATGCCTTTTGTTATAAACCCCAAACGTTTAATTTTTCAAATTTAATCTCTAAGTAGTTGCTAAACCACAAGTCTCGCGCAGTCGTTCTTTAAATGCCAGTAGGGCTATCTAAGAATTCACCTGACGGCTGGGCTCTCGAGGCAACTTGATTGAAATTAGATACCATCCCCCAAATGGCCTGGTTTCTATCGGGCCTCGGATGTCATTGCTGCTTTCATGTTTAATCTACCGGTGTCCACTTATGCCTTATCCTACACCGCTTTGAGACTGTTCCCATGCTAACGAATTTACGCATTTTTGGAATGCAGTGTGCAACTGATGGGCGCTTCATATTTCATAATTGTACCAGTAGCTACCGAACGCATACCGAGACCGATAAACGTAGACCTCAGATGTCGCTACTAAGTAACGACCCACCGTTTACCTGCGCAATCGAAAAATCTTCTATTAGTGAAAAAACATGGAAGTATCTACCGTTTTAATCGCCGCTCACATACTGGGATAGGATTTTCAGACAAGTGACTCTGCGTCTGCATGGAGATGTGCTAACAGTCAGGCAGATAGGTGCTCGCTTGGTCAGTATTTCGGGAATATCACTGCACCATAACTTAATAATATCGAATTTGTGGCGAAATGTTGATGACAATTTTTTTGTTTTTTGATAGTGATTTCGAACATTTTTTTGATAGTAATATTTTTTGATAGTGATTTCGTATACTTTTTTGCAAACAGGCGCATATAAAAAATCGGACGGTTTTTAGTGGAAAAACGCAATTAAATTACACATACGAGGAATATCAACTGTCTTCTGTTGGTGAAACGTATGCTAAAAAAGTTTAAGCTCAAGTATTGGTCAGCAGACTTTAATGACAACGGCGATCATTAGCGCACCAAAACCGTAAGAGTTTCCAATTGCACCACCACCCAAATTGCCTTCTAGAGAATAGATCTGGGTCACAACAGTCTCCTACACTCTTCAAAAATGAGCCTTTTTATTTTGTAGGACGTATGTGACAGACGAGAATGTTTAGGCAACTTTTTCCAAAAAGATTCGATTCAGTTTTTGATGTATTTTGTGGGTCGAAATCAGAGGTACCATCGTTTTTATTTTGAGCAAACCGGCAGAAAAGTACTTAGCCTTTTTAATATAGTTAAATAGCGCTGTCTCATGTCTTCAAGTAATATAGGTTTAGCACATAAGTTCGTGTCTCACTGTTCCTCCTTTTATTTGCAATAAATATCTTATTGTGCAAGGACTTTAGAAAGGTTTGATTTTCCTTCAAACTATTCTGAAATCAGATTAACTGCAGTGGGCGACGTACCTCATGAAACACTAGCTGAAACTCTGAGATTTGATTTCAGCTTGAAATGGTTGCTTGTGAGCGGTTGTGACATTTAATATCACGCAGCATAATACCAAGATATTTAAGTCACGCCCAAGCGCCGGCTTTGAAGTGCGTGTCTTTCCGATTGCTTGCAAATCTACGTTCGCAAAAGAAAGTACTTAAGTAGAGCGTTGGCTGTACTAAAGCCTTCCCCCTCACTGCGTCGGTTCGAATCCCACCGAGGCGCCGAGTTTTTCACAGTTGGGTCAATATGAATTATTCAAAATCTGCCAAAATATCAATGAATTACGTGAGCCTAGTAGTCATCTGGTGGATTCTAGGTGAATTACTTAGGAAATCCTGCTTGGGCAGTCAACTTACTGTATCAGATTTGGTGGATTCCAGACGTTGCAGTAGGTTGGGCGGGTAACTTGACCCAAGTGTGATAAAACTCGCGTCGTCCGGCGGGGCCTCGTAGCTCAGGTGGTTAGAGCGTTGGCTGCGCTAAAGCCTTCCCCCTTACTGCGTGGGTTCGAATCCCACCGAGGCGCCGAGTTTTTCACAGTTGGGTCAATATGAATTATTCAAAATCTGCCAAAATATCAATGAATATCGAGTACAGGCAAAAAACATCCTCTCATGTACTCATTTTGCATTGACTTACGCCATTCTTAAAATGTTCTACTCAAAGAAACTGTATTTTTTAGTTTCGAAAAGTTTGTAATTATACGATTTTTCAAGACCACGAATATTTATTTAAATGGCATCCTATCGGACCTTTCATTAATGATCCTTTTGAAGTATACGGCGTAGTCAGCATCTACTGAAGAATTATATCAGCACTATGTGACCTGCTCCATAGCCGAGATGAGCGTATGGTCTTTTCTAAAGGAAAAGTGTGCAGTCTGTAGTCTGGGAACACAAAAACTAGGTACAACAGCAAGTCTGGTTTAAATTTTTTCGGAAATTGGAGGTTGGTTTGAAAATGAACGATATCGCTTCTTAGAGTGAGACATTTGAAGATGGCCTTTATTACTACGAAACGAGTGCAAAAAATGTTTTTGCATACTTTATAAAATATGTTTAGATTTTAAGAGCATACAAGATCAATGCCGAAACGTAGACTACTCAAGTGTTGACTTTTAAAGAGTTCGGCTTTTGCAGGTGGCTGGGAAGATGCATTCGAAAGCCGATACCTTGGCATAACTGCAACATCTCAGTATCATGCTGCAGGAAAATCAATATTACAGTCGCACCTAAGTAGTCCTTTCTGATCAGAAAGGCTTCAAAATCTCATCTAATTTTTCATGAGATACTTCGCCCGTTGCATGTTAAATCCTTTTGTCGGTATGCTTGCAGTCCCTTTCTCCTCTCTCGAAACAAAAACCCGTTTTTTTGCTACTTTTGAAGTATTGAGGCGCCCGCGTGCACTTCGCTTTCGCTTAAATGCAGTTGTGTGTCGGCTACGATAGGTCTAATGGCCGTATTCTTGTTGATTTTCTGAATCCCTAACACTGTTTCGTTAAAAGAAGACGAAACTTTCACCAGGAGAGGTTAATTCCAGGTCTGACGTTTCCTGTAGCAATTTCGCCTACCCATCCCCAGAGACAGGGAGGTCATGCCACTGCACTCATTATATGGCGCCAGCTATGCAAATTATCTCCACCGTCAACGAGGGTGGGGGCGGCACAGATCACGGTGAAATGCGGGTCCGATGCAGCCAGCCCCACAGACGACATTAAGAAGGCAGGCATCAAGTAAAGGGTGTCATATAAAATAAGAGCCGCGCGCACGACCCTCCGGTCACTGAAAATGGGTGGGCAGAATTATTACTCGAAACGTTAGACCTGGAATAAACCTCTCCCGGTGAACATCTCTGCCTTTGACATGCCACCCGCGAATGGCATTTTCACTACTACCGACTTTTATGTTAAGTCGACATCTTGCGCAAAATGTAATAGGGAGTCTCAGCTGTTGTCCCTGTATTTGTGGCCACAGATTTGACTCGATCGCCGATTTGACACGCAGGCCAGGTGTTCCCTTCCCCTAGGGTATCGCGACACTTCGCTTAACATTTTTTGGCATAATCTAATGGGTTGATGTCTAGTTTAGCCTTCTGTAGTCGCGTCTAGTTTGACCAACTTTCTTATATTTGCACGTTCTTTTCATAATGTCGAATCCAGCAGTCTGGAGATAACTTTTTGGCAATATTCCCTCGGAACCTCTTTTTTTGACAGATGACGTTTTAAGTATCACTGGCCACACCAAATCAGTGTACAAATAAGAAAATTGCGCAGAACAAAGCCTTATTTCGGAAGCTAAGTCGCAGCTCGCCATTTTCACCCCCAAGAAAGTTTCCTATTCATATTCTCTTCCTTTTCTCCCAGTCTGGATTTTATTATTTACCAGGCTTCAGTTTGTCTTGAAATTTTGCTATCAGGAGAACCGATCTGATTCGGCAAACTGCGTTACCCACTAACCCAAAAACTTTACTTTCGAGGCGTCACTGCCGACGGCCAACTGTAAGGCGATTGGTAGCAGTTTTGAAGCTAAAGAACAGAAAGGGGATCTCCATCGCAAAGCGCCTTCCCCAGGGGATCGGCGTATGGATCGGGTGGTTGATAACGGGGAAGGGAGCATGAAGTTGAAATGGGGAAATGGATTTCCGTGTACACACTATCCCGTTTTTTTTCCAGGGAGGAAACGGCGTCTACGCTAGTATCGTTTGCATTCCCACATCTTTCCGCCCTTCATGAGGAATGTCCGGAATACTATCTAGGTTGTGGTTGCCTAGTCGTCGTAACTGAATCCACCGTTGTGTAACTTGGGCGCTGAACTGAAGTTGGGCTTTGATGAGCATTCCCCCTCTAACAACGACGTAAAAACGGGCCCTGAAATCACTTTCTATGGACTCCAGGGTTTGACTTCTTAATTTCGTAGACTAACCCTCTGGATAAAAGAACCACCTTGTTCTGCTGGCCATCGGCACAAATCACTCAACTGTCTTTTGATGGTGTCTGTCGAATTCTGCCTGCTGAGAGTGCCTTCGCCGGGTCAAAAGTCGATAGTTGGCGAATAAAGGGAGTCCGAGCGTTCTTGTTCGACACAAGTTTTGACTGGAACGCTTTTGTCATACGCAAGTGGCCGTCTCGCTGCATCTTAATGGTGATAGACCGACCACCAAAGAACTGTCACGACCGTCTCCGTGGTATTTTTCCAGTGCCAATCACCTGCACTCTTAGTGTTCGGTCTATGAAAAACTGTTTTTTTACGTCTTCTGTTGCCCTTTCCAATAACCTTTCCCGACTAGAACTTGTTTCGGAGGAAAAATTACGATTCTTTTTATTGATAGGGCAAAACGATTACTGACTGTTTAATGCCCAAGTCACCTTCCGCTGTTAGAGACCTCCCAAGGCACCCAAACCAGAAGTGCCACTGATTATCGTTAAAGTGTTGGCCAAAGGGCTGCTACAGTTTTATACATTTCGGATGAAGGTGTGATGGAATAAATTTTGGAACCTCATACCACGGCAACGGTGATGCTGGCCTACTGTGTTTGCCACCGCAGATATCGTTCGTTGTAAGAAACACGCAGTTATATGGCATGCTAATTTCTAACGTCAAGCGATGACATTTACATTTCTCTCCTAGAAGCCGGAACAGAATTGTGTCTGAAAGCGCTCAGCGGATGAAAGCAATCATTATTCGCAGGAAAAATTCACCCCCACAAAAATTTGTTTATACTACCTCAAGGCGTCTATTTTTTCCATTGGAATGCAAAGGCTTCGGACCTCCGTTCATCTGTGGGCATGAGAAAGTGCCCTGCAAACGTTAAGATTTTAATAGCTCCAAGCAGCAAATAGCTAAAGTAAACTTTGAGAGCTTTGCTTACGATCATCATCATCATCATCATCATCATCATCATCATCATCATCATCATCATCATCATCATCATCATCATCATCATCATCATCATCATCATCATCATCATCATCATCATCATCATCATCATCATCATCATCATCATCATCATCATCATCATCATCATCATCATAAGTCGATAATACAGTGGGTTGGATAACTGACGAACAGGTTGAACCGTTCGGAAACGTCGGGTTATGACGACAAAAATGTCGGCGATCGAAGAGTAGTGACTTGTTTTGCCAACACTTGTAATTTGGTGTGTTTGTGCTTATCCTAAGCGTCGATGCTGTTAAGATGAGTCTGTAATCCCGAAGTGGCAGTTTACTCATGTAGATATCCGAGACCTGCTTCCGGTAGTAGTAGTAGTAGTAGTAGTTGTTGTGTCTTACGGCTTTTTTGCTTTTGAGGTATTAATTTCTTCCAGATGATCTGCGAGTTATCAAAATGACGATCTTTCCTCGTCAGTACTGTCTAGGCGATATGGCGCTTTCTGCCTGTTTTTGATGTCTTGCACAACTTTCTGTGGAATTTCAGGTGACGCTAAAATTCTGGAGGGCTCTGGATGGTGACGAAGAGGAGGTGGAGGGCCTTTCCGACGAGTCCACTTGATCAACCTGCTCATTCTACTCCGCCACTTCATCTCCCACATTCATTGTTTTTCCACGTGCCAACCAAATGTACTTATTTACTACACACACTAGCACGGAGAATGCAAGATTGGAATTACTGCTGTTAATGAGAGATAATGGAGCTTTCATTGTTTCATTTTAAAAATTCGGACTTTTTTAAACCAGCGTAATGCGCAAACTAATGACATCTAAAATAAAGGTGACCATTGCCTTCTTGGCGTCTTGGCAATAAAAGATTGTGATTAGGCCTTTTCCTCAACTACAACGCCCTCCATTTATCATGTCGATGTGGGCTCATTTGGCTTCGAGGTCTGTATGAACCATAACTTCGTGGTCAGTCGACAAAGCTGTGTCAGAATTCGTAGTGCATTATTTTGATGCATCTTGTCGAGTAGTTAAGTAGGAAATTAGTCTTCAGATTTTCCGCGGTGACCGCGCATACTCTATCCTTTGACCCTCAACTCCTTCTCGTGTTTTCCGCTTCTATTCATTTGGATGTAGTCACCGATAATGGGAGGACAGTGGTATCATCGTCACCAGGACAGCTCATATTGACCCAATTGTGAAAAACTCGACGCCTCGGTGGGATTCGAACCCACGCAGTAAGGGGAAGGCTTTAGTTCAACGAACGCTCTAACCACTCGGCTGTACTAAAACCTTCCCCTTACTGTGTGGATTCGAATCCCACCGAGGCGCCGAGTTTTGCACAATTGAGTCAATATGAATTATTCAAAATCTGCCAGAACATCTATGAACCAGGACAGATGATGACTTTGTTCGGCAATTAGTTCGGCGAGTATTTGCTCTCAAGGAATTACCAGAAACTCACTCCCAAATGTGTTGTTTTGAGTATCGTCAAGTAACACCTCAGAAATGTGCACCGTCGACCGAGTCGTGCCTGTGAGATTCTACAGTACTGCACCAGCGGCAGTTTCGGATGCATCGACAGCAATGACGGGGTGTTATCTGACCGAAGCAGTGTGGATTTCCGGTAAAAATTCCAACCAACATTCGGCACCCTGGAGCAGGTTCTTGAGGGGATAAATTGCGTCTGCTCAGCTGGGAAGGTGTCGCCGACAGAAGTTGTTGTCCCCAGTAACTTCTGCAACTAACACCCATACGTGATTAGCGAATATTCGCCAAATAGGAAGGCAGGTAGGAGGGTGGATGCCAATCGAGTCGACTATATGACCGGTGGATTCTAGGTTAGAAGCATCGGTGGCACACTGCCGGGATAGGCACGATGGTGCCCTACCAGTTGCGGGTAAACATCAAGCTCGGATTCTCGCGTTCCCCGCCTTGCTGCTGTATGCTAGGAGGTAGTCAATGTATGCGCGAACCTTACTCTAGAGGGGAACCTATCGAACTTGCGGAAGGCGTTGTGCAAACGGAGAAAAAATAGGGGTTGGGAGGGGTGTTAACAATTGTTTTCGGGCCTCATAAATGACGATAGGTATTTGCCGACAGGTCCTGATTATTTCGATCAGGAGAAGACACTTCCAGGTGAGGCTCTGGCCAAGTCCTGGGGGGTGTTATACGCCCAGCAGTCATCACATGGAGGGTATTAATAGACTGAATCACACATAAATAAATAAATAAATCGTTTATTTAAGACACATGAGGGTCCCTCCAGAGGGAAGATAGTTGCATTCATTGTAGATCGTTATTTTAGGACAATGATGGCTTAGTTGCCTTCAGCCAGAACGTCAATACCCTTAGTTATATCACTCGTGTTGATTGTTGGTAGGACAATCACTCTGACATTTCAGGTTAGTACATATAAGAGATATGGGTCGATAATCTGAGAAATATGAAGGCTCACCGTGCCAGTCGAATTTGGTGGCTGACGTTTCGGACGGCTTGGGTGGCAGACCCGCCTACATGAGCACAAACAGGCAACTCGGACACTAGATCCGAACTCAGCTTGCGATTCGCATCGGAGAAACTGACTACAGCTCTGACTTCCAAAAAGCAACAGCCTTAAGCCGGGGCACCTCAAAGACAGAACGTTACACACTTGAGGTTTGACACCCAGATGCCAGATCCATCAACAAGCATCTAGACCTTCCTGCGGCCTATAAAATCCTACGCCACTATGTACATCATGACCAAGGTAATACGGCCACATGCAGCCCAAAAACCGAGCGAAAACGGCCCGTCGACTAACTTACCCAAATGGAGAGCACATGTGCGACCTACCCCCATTGAGGTGACGACACAACGCAGGAGGCCGCCTACATTCACAGACAACAGCCAGTGGGCTAAAGCGGCGGAAGAAGAATAAAATCGGTCGGTCAAAGGTCAACTTATTCAGCCGTTTGTTAAAAATTCTGGCCGAATTTTTTTCACAAAACCCTATGGTTATGGAGAGCCAGCGAAGCCTTCCGAAACGTCAGTTACTCAATTCCACTAATCCGGTGAGCCCCTCATGTTTCTCAGACTGCAATTTGGCTCACCGACACTGGCACTGGATAAATTTTGACCACACCCTCCGCGCCTGGCTAATCAATATGTCCAGACATGTTATCAGTAGACGGTATACTGCTTGTTTTTGGACTGATTGGTAGAAAACCATGACTCCAGAGGCTGGTGGTCCACGCGGTCACCACCTTTCGGAAGAGTTCCCGTCAGTCGTCGGTCTGGACCGTTTAACACGGCCCCGTCGGATTAGTCACTATCTCGAAGGTGACATCATACCACCCTGTCGCTGCTGCTGCGCTTTCGACCGTCTATGTTTGAGTAATTTCCCCGTTTCTCCGACGTATTTGCCTTACCCACACTAGCACCAGATCCGGCAAACGACTCCAGGTTTTTACCGTCGTGGCGGTGAGTCTCCCGGCTGCACTACATAGAGCCTTCTAGTCGCTTCCGCCTGTGTGAAAACTCAAATGCAGGCGATGCGAGAAAGCGGCTGACGGCTTCCAGACGTCTCTCGCGCAAGGGAACGTCCGCCAAAACAAGGTGGACGTGCCATTTGGTTTCGTCTTGTTTGCGTATGTACCGGTGGGCAACGCTGGCTGACTAGGCATTCGCTCTGAGCACCAGTAGGAGGTACTGCCACTCGACAAAACCCGTCTTTCGGTCCCTAGCAGTGCACCTTGACTTACTGATGCGCTTATACCCGACCTTCGCTGCATCGGCACAAAATCGGCGAAACGCGTGTCTGGGCCTTTAGCTAGTATCTGTCCTGTCAGCATGGTATACCACATAGTTTTAATATAAAACTGACAGCTTGCTGTCAGCTTGTGAATATTACGCGGCTATTTCGCAGTAGGTGATGGAGTTCGGCTTGAATATTCAGGTATGAACTTTCGAACCGAGCCTAAGAAACTTTGTTTCGAAGGAGTTACTCCAAGCGCGCATATTAATTGCCTTGGAAATTAAGCGAGACACGTCTAGTTTTCGCCTATCATCCAGGGAGAGCTCACCATTCTCGATCGTATAAGAGGATTGACCCGGAAGATGAACGGTGCGCGCAGAGCGTTGTGGGGCTGGACATATCGTTACGGGTCCATGAACGCTTCCTAATGGTTGTGGAAAGCCGCGAAATGCGCGATTTGGGAAATGATGTTATCCTTACTCCATCCATTCGGCGGCAGAATCGCGTTGATTTATTGGAAACTGTGCTTCTTTAAGTTGACAGCTACTAATCATAAGTGGTATATTCGCCTGGTCATGAATGAGCTGGAAAACACTGGTGTTCCTAACGCTTACTGATAAACCAACCGATTTGGCGACTTCATTTAACCCCGTCATAGTCTGTAAGTCATCTAAGTTTAGGGCTAGGAGGGCGATGTCACCAGTGTAGTCGAAATCAGTCAGTCCTGTCGGGTGCGAATTCGTTACCGTCAAAACCACGTAGAGTCCTTCTGAGAATCGAAGAGTTTTGCGGACCTGAACTCGCGCACTGATGGGGCGAGGTGGACAACGAGGAAGACTCCTTCAGCAACATCGATAAGGCTCATGTCGCAGTAATTCTCGCACTTTCCCCTTTTGTAAAAACGAGCACAAGAATACATTAGCTCCAGTAATCCAGGATGACCTCGTTTTCCCAAGCTTTCTCAATTGCCTCATACAGCCTGGGTGCCAGCGTCGAATCAATATGTAAAGATAACAGTGGAAATACCGTGCTCTCTGGGCGTCTTGTTGTTTTGCAGCCTCGATATTTCATGGGAGATTTATCCCTGAAAACGGGACAATATGACCCACATGGGTTGGAGAGAGGCAGGATTCTGCTGCAGTCAATAGCTAGAATGCGACGGATTGATCATTAAAGTTGGAAAGGTGCTCGAACTGCTGACGTCAACGCGAGACCCTGGCTGACTTTTCGACAATGATGATCCCATCCACATCGCACGCAGGCCCAGTCGCGCAGAGAGTCTATCACTAACTTGCCGAATAATTTGGCAGAGTTTGCGAGTGTTACCAGCATTTGGTGCCTGTTACATGAAGGTGGGTATTTTAGCCCAGTCTTTATTGTGCTCATTTCTAGCTGACTTTGCTGTCATTCTGCGGAGTTGGCGGAGAGAATCCTCTCTGAAAAAGCCGGCTTGACCTGCCTGGGTGGACAACTGCCAGGTTCTTCTGCTGGTTCGGACACTGTTGCCGTTGCTTTAATTCAGGAATTTCCTGTTGCATCGTATACCAACGACTTCAGCAATGAACATTTGCTACTGCCTTCTCCGTTGACCCACGGTGTAGGTCAAGAACGAACTTTTTGTGCTCAGGGCCCTGTTTTGTGACATCAAGGCGTCTTGCAAGTTGAAAATCTGGGTGCGGATAGGACGCGAACTTTTGGTTGTTTGCGGGCGAGAACGTGGTCTAATCAGTAGGCGTTGGCAGTTTTGACACCACGTATCGATCTGCTATCACGAACCCCTCCACGAAACTTTGAACCACCCAGAATATCTCTAGTCTGACTGGCCGTACGGCAATTCTTTAAATACCAAGTTAGTAGATGTTTGTGAGGGTGCTGGGAGCACCTGCTGTTGACAAAATGCCGGTCCTGGTCAACGAAATTCAGCACATTAGAGCATCGAAAGCAAAACCGAAACAAACCAATAAGGTACTGTTTAAGAGTCGCCCGGTCCATCATAGTCATTCCAGTCCCCAGTAACAAGAAGCGAGAGACTAATTCAATTAACTTTTGCACTTGAGGATAGAAGGCTTCCTTTTCGAGTTGGTCCACGGCTGACATTGGTCTGTAGACGGAAACGACAGAGATGTTCGCAAGGTGCCTCTTCAGTCATGCGTAAGCCGACCGGGCATTGACTGATTCCCACGTTGGCAGTACACAAATCACCTGTTGCAGTAAAAAATCGTTAAAATCGTCTGTTGCCTGTCTGTTGCCTGCTCCAGCACTTTGTCTCAAGGACTTGACCACAGCGCAACGATAGCAAGCAAACACATTTAAGCGTGTCATGCCACTGCCGTCGTCGGACTTGGCTGTCGGCATGCCGGAGCTTAGACCTCCACGCCTTGGTTGCACTGTCATTGCTGGTCGGCGGCCGCTCCTTCACCAGACCCGAGAGCCTTCTTATTTCATAGCTAATCTAAGCTAAAGGCCATTTCATAATCAGCAAACTGTTGACGTGCCGGCTGGCGGGCTGCCAACGGGACCGCCTTCTTCCGGACTGATATGTGTCAGAGTCGAAAAGAAAACGCTTATCACTCCCCTTGTCGCAGGCGCGGTAAATGAGATCGGTGGTAGGGTAGTTAGAGGGATTGGACACAACCGCCCCTCGGTCAGGAAGTTTCCCTACAAGAACTTGAGGGAACAGGGTGAAGCGTAGGACCGGGTCTTGGCATCATCTGGTGTGATTTCGACGGGGGTCGATTTTGAAGCCGAGCTTACTGACGTGACAGACCTGAAATGCTGAAAAAGCGTCACAAACGTCCGGTAAAGCAATGTCAGACCGCAGGTGTAAGATAACTTAAGGTTGCTTTTACTTGCCGTAGTTTTGGCAGCATCTAAACAAATCGAAAGCTTTTCTAACATGGATGTTACTGCAGCGTAGATCTGACACCGCACTTTTCGTCTCACTGTACAAGATAGCAACTTCTCAAGAAATTGTAATGGTGTTATCCGGTACTCTAACGGTCTGTTTAGCTTCCTGCGTCTAATAGTGGGCAATGTTCAAAACATAAGTTGTCAAAATCGAGGCACTCATTCACTCAACGCTTGTAGGTTGGCAGTGAAAAAGATTTTTGGGTTCGCTGTGTCCATTGAAAAGGGAAGCTTCCGCCCATTTCTGATGTCCTCTACACACAAAGAGGCCAACAGACATCTTTTGTTTTGCTTGTATGTTCGTACGGTTTATTCTCCAAGGCTTTCTATTGGACTCTGGTTTTTTGATTTAAACTGCGTACTCGTGGGAGCCCTAACAACAAATACGTACTTCTATTATTTAAGATAATGACATGTAAAAGCACTTTTTAAAACTCTGAACCGCTCAAGCTCCAGATTAGGCGCTGCCAGCTTCCCAGTAACCCTAAAAGGCAGATAGTTCCTTTAGAGTCAAATATGCGCACGAGATGCCATGTCTTCTCACCTCAGTTCTCCGAGTTTCAGGACAGGTTTCGCAGCGTTAAATTTCAGATGCACAAAGCAGCGTAATAGGCAGATGAGCCCGCTGCATTTGTTGCCTCTCTACAACTTATTTGCACTTATTCAAACGGACCCTATTCCCGGTCCCGCTATGCCCATTTCCACCATAAATGTACTCTAAGTTAGACTTGGCAGCCTGCATTTATGCCTTCCTTCGATGTGACCGATTACGACGGCCACTGCGCTGACAGCTTTCTAACCTCCCTCAGTCGTGGATAGCTTGGTGAAAGTTAGTTATCCGCATGATATGAAGACTTTCATTGCTATTAGGTGGGCGCAAGAGTACTGCGTATGGCGTGAGGCAAACCAAATTTCGGTTTCCAACAGTGATGACTCGCATGTCATGTTTCGGAGACTAGACTGAAGGAGACAGCACTGCGACAGCACACTCACGCAAACCCGTGAATGCCTGACTTCAGGCGCGGCCGCACCGCACAACTCCCCTGGGATTTGTCTCTTGACTTAAGATAGCGCGTGCCCAACATCTGCCCTCCGATGGTCATGATCAGTGCACACTAACGGCTATGGACGGGTGGACTTGAACGTGAATCTCGCTAAGTCATCCACTCAGGTAAATCAACCAGTGGTCGTTCCGGTGCGTTCTGACACCACCCTGTGATTTCGCAGGGCCTAGCTTTGCGCTCTGATGATTCCGATCCCTCCACCTTTGATTTTATAACCTAATCATTTTCGCGTATTCCACCCTGTGACCGCATCGCTTCTGAGCTGTATCCTTCGGAAAATAGAAAATGCATGTACTTCTGGGATAAAATTAAAATGCTGCTCCATGTTTCCCCAAGCCTCGGGACAATTTTCTCGGGTAATGCAAAATGTTCACTATAAATTTATTGTGTAATTAACAGTTAGTAATGGGCAGGAAGAAGGAAAAAGATGAGAATGTCCCTGTTATGGGTAAGTGCGGCCCATAGGAATAGTATTGGGTGAAATGCTTTGTGTGCGCATCGGATGCCAAACATGACTGATTCAAAAATACTCTTGCGAATAATGAATATATCGAGAAATACTCTCACAAACGCATAATAACCATTTTGAAAAGTTTGTGGCAGCTATAAACAGGCGGGTGTTAGCCCAAAAGTATAAACCACAAAGCAGTTCGTCCTTTAGTACTCAGCCATGACAGAATTATCCTGACGGAAATGAATAAGGATCAACTATCCGTAAATTTCACACAAAACGTTGACCACGAACTCATATGTCCATGATAATGTAAGTTCATCATGCGCATCAGGATTTAGCTGGCGTCGGCATCAATCAAACACATACCCAAATAACATTACCAGCAAAGACAAGGGAGGCAAGCGTCCCTCTACCATACGACCAAATGTTTTTTTTTACAGTACAACATAAGGTGCTTCCGCCGTCATTTCGATATCCACAGTGTAGTAGACTGTCCACTGACCCAAAACCGGTCTTTTGAGACATCAGCTGTGATCCTACAGTTAGAAATCTGCATCATTTGCAGAATGTAAGACTTGATTCATGTACATAGGTAAATTACATAGCAACGCCGACCATGGCGTGATAATTTTTGGTCATTCCGTCCCCCATGCTCCTCCGCTCTTGCTTTTTTGTTTTTATTTATTTCTGCTCTAGGCGACTATGTTGTCAAGTTACAAATGTCGGCCTTGAGGCTTCCACTAATCAATCTCCCAAGTCAGTTCAAAAAATTCAAATTTAAAAATTTAAGAATTAAATTTAATTAGATCAAACTTAAATGAAAATTAAATTAAAATTTCTAAACTTTACGTACGTTAATGGATCTTTCGAAGAATACTTTCAGAGACGACTGGGACGCGACGAATACAAAGACAACATTGTTAAGGGGTGAACAAATGCTTAAACTCTGCCGCGGAAGGGCGGTCATGTTTGTGAAATTGTAAGGAGTGGATTTTTACTAGATCGGTCAACCATTTCTACTCGCAGAAAAGAAATAATTGCAGATGCTGGGTAGTCACCTCGAATTTGGAGACGAGCAATCGGGTTTGTTTCTTTTGAAGCTCACATTGTACATTCAATCGAAAATACACGACTGCTGGGCACTCCGAAATGAACTGAGAATCATACAGTAAAAAAGAGCAGGTTAACAGGTCTTTCAAGTTTTAACTCAACTGCAGGGACTCCGTGAATGTGAAACAAACCCTTTACATCAGACGAGTCGGGAGAGGTCTGGAACTTCGTTCGGAGGAAGCAACAGCTTCACGAAACGCCAACATGTCGCAATATGGGCTGGTACCCGACGGCCAGAAAGGCAGTCACCACGCTGTTGCTTCGTGTTGTGAAAAAGAACTTTTATGACTTGTACTATTTGTGAAGCTCTGATGCAAACTGAAGGCTAATTTTCTCGTTGTTTCAAAGCGGGGTAAGGCCCGGTGAAAAACTCAATCTTCTTGCGATTTTATGAATTTGACACTGGTAAAAATGGATTTTATTAACAGGCATCTTTACTCTTCTATAAGTTTCAAGTTTAACAGGTGTTCATATGCAGGAAGAGGCTGCTAAGATCTAAATTTATGCCTTGTTGTTCACTGCAGAGTTTTCAAAGCACCCAAGTGTTTCTCCTCATGAGATCCGTGCTAGCCCACAACTTGTTTCGTACAAAATACCATCCTTGGTTGTCTCGACGCTAAACACAACGTTACGGAAATGACTACGATGACCGTATCCCTTTGAAGAAGACCGCAGCTAGCTGGAGAAATGCAGAACACCTTTGGTTGCGCATGAAGTGTATCGACGTAAGTTAGACATTAACATGATCCGCTTCTCCATGCTGGAAATATCGAATGAAATATAGGGATGTTCCTTCCGCTGACGCGGACGTCCAAAGAAAGTGCGACGGGATGCTGGAGTTGTCTTTACCTGACATCAGGAGGCAGTTTCCCCTCCTCCCACAGGGGTCCATGATTTTTGCGGATCTTTAACTTCCCGAGGAATCAAATGCTAACTTGTAGTAAATCAGTCTGCATTTAGCCCTGTAGGTTCAGACCGAAGTTAATATGATCATTCGGGGCGAAACCCATCAGCCACAGTGGGGTAACCGCGTAATTTATACAAACCACCAACATAGGTAGGTAGTATGTACATAGACTACACACTACATTGTGCCTAACAGCAGAGGTACTAGCTAAAAGCTTTTAACTAGCACCCGTACTGTCAACTATGGTGCATCATTTAGATCAATGATTGTCTACTTACCGTGAGTTTCCCACTCCACAGATAGAAATTCACTACGATCCTCTGCGCCCACAAAATCATTTCGAATGACCACCATGCTGATGTGAGGGACAAGTTTTTTGAAGATGTGCACGCACTCCTATTAAACGAGCGGAAAGTGATCAAATACATTGGTTCCGCTAACTCCACTACCCGTACGGTGCCTCGAACAGAGTGGTAGGTAGCCATAAAATAAGGAGTCGAATCGGCAGCTGCCTTTTTTTCTTTGCAGGCATGCGCAGAACATAACCTCCTCCCTACTAACAAATCCCGCCCTCTAAACCAGAAGCGGATAACCAAGGTTCACTTTCACCGTGTCACTTGCAGCCACTGGGCTGTGTCCTATTCAGAAGACTAGTGTGATAGTGATCAAATCGAATTGCAGTGCTGGACCGAGCGTCGCCTTGTCGTTTTGAAAACGAAGTTACAGTCCCAATGTCACAGGCCGACTCAGGGTGAAAAAATGCCAGCTTGGATATTTACGCTAATATCAGGTGTAACTGCGCGTAGACTGCACTTCGGCATGGAAATTAACGTTAGTCTGGTGGAAATCTGGGTCCTGGGGGGGGGATGCGTAGAGCAGCGAGAGGATGACAGTAAGAGCAAATATGAGGAACTCCTAAACGCTATTCGGACCTCTTCTACAAAAAGCCTTTGGATCCGCACATCGACAACGGCAGAACTGTCTGGTAGGACACGGGAATAGGTTCTCCTGTCCCATGCCAGGTGGGCTTTCAGTATATTCCAGGAGAGTACCTATGCCCGTGTACAGCCGACTTCCTAGACAACCACACCAGTATTTAGCCTCCTGCCGAAAAAACAAGCTGCGCTAGAATATATCGGAAACCGCACCGGCACAGGCCCTGTCACACTCTCAAAAACATTATTAACGGACTTACACATATTGAACAACACAGTAATTCACGCGAACGTTTCAGAAGTAGTCACAATTCCAATCGTTTAAAAAGCTGAAAGTTCAATTTCCAATTGCAAATTTCGCAAAAGACGCAGATTGCACAAAAACAAATTCTGAGCATTTATTTTGTAAAGTGAGAGAGAATGCACTCAAACCTCGGGCACAAATGTGACAGATACCTGTTACCCAAACAGGGTTTTAATTCAGAGCAATCTTTGAACAAGAAGCGGGAGGGATTTTCAATCCAAAGTCTCTGGGTACCATATATGAATTGACACGGAATCATACCCCAGTGACCCAGTTAGTGTAATATTTAACACTTAAAAGCTCATTCAAAAATTTCATTTAGTGTTTAATAGGCTGCGGAACGTACCGTTAGTCCTGGTTGTCCAAAGGTGAATTATAATCTCGGAACTGTCTGACCTGGAGATAGCCATACCAAAATGTCAGGTGAGGACGGGTCTGAACTCGAACCGGATTGTCTGGGCATGGAGTTAAATACTACCATCGAGACGTGGACCTCGACCCTGTTCTCCGATGTTGGAAATATTCAAAAATATTTGGCATGAAGTTTACTCATGTATTCCAATTGTAAGATAGAATATTTCGCATGCATTGTACACATTTTAGTGTTTACTCGGAGAATGCTAAAACTGATTTGCATTCACAAGCGTCATCATAATTTACATGGCAATATGCAGTGTTTGACCGATCTCATGAAATGTTGACCGAAATTCTGAACGTGTTTTCGGCTAGAAAGGATTACTTAGGTGGGGTTGTAATATTGATTAGCATGCGGCATCGTGCTATAGCATTTCGGACTCATTAGAATGTCGGTTTTTCGATGCACTCCTTTCTGACCTTCTGCAGAAACAGCGATTTGTAAAAAATGAGTACCTAAGTAGCATGCATTTTTCTTATTGATTTTCGATGGTCTTACAAATTCAAATATATTTTATAGAAAACGGGCACAAAATATGCCTTCTTTTACTCGTTTGGTAGAAAATCACACTGTCTCCATATTTTATACCCGAAGAAAGTGCACATTTAAGTTTTAAAAAGTTTTCCAATATCCGAATAATTTTGAGCCAGATCTGCCATTTCATTAGCGGTTAGCGATTTCAGTTTACAAGGTACATGCTTTCCGCGTAAGGAAGATCATATATTACTCTATGCCTTTAAAAGATACCATATAGAGTCTACAAAATTTTGGCAATGGATCCTGACTGTGTTGTGCATTTCATGAGAAGCCTTGGTAAACGGACAAGTACGATGTTGTATATATGGACATCGCACGGTCATGAAGGTCTCATGATTAGAAACTTTTTAAGATCCAAGCATACATTTCCTTCAGGTATGAAATATAAAGGCACTGTGACTTTCTGCCAAACGAGTAAAAGAAGGCATATTTTTGTGCCCGTTTTCTATAAAATATATTTGAATTTGTAGGACCATCGAAAATCAATATGAAAAATGCATGCTACTTAGGTACTCATTTTTTACAAATCGCAGTTTCTGCAGAAGGTCAGAAAGGAGTGCATCCAAAAGCCGACATCCCAGAGAGTCCGAAATGCTTTAGCATGATGCCGCATGCTAATCAGTATTACAACCCCACCTAAGTTATCCTTTCTAACCGAAAACACGTTCAGAATTTCGGTCAACATTTCATGAGATCGGTCACGCTCTGTACTGGCGCGCGAGGGCTGCTAGACAAGCCTCTGTTGGCCGAGCAAGACCAGGACAAATAAAAACCTACGGATGGTTAAACACACATAATTTCAGATGAGAGACCGGAAAGTCTATAGATTTTGAAGGAGGACGTACACTCCTCCAAAGGACAAACAACTTTGTAATTCATCTAGTCCGTCCTGATTTAAGCAAGGACGAGGAAGGGAAACAGGGCATACACATTTTTATGGCAACATCGGTTGACTGTCCGTGCGGGGTTTAGTAGAAATGTATGATCCCCACATATCCAGCTAGAGGGATAAACATTGCGATCTTTCTTGCGGTGGGGATGCTGGTGAGATACACCACACCCAGCGACGTGGATAACGACCCAGGTCCCATCCACCTCAGTAAGCGCTCAGCACACAGAGGGAGTGGCGTCGCGTGGACGGCCCGCTTATTGGATTATGATTGATATTCACGCCCCACAGTGTGCGTACGTGCATCCGGGAACAGGCGCGTACGCCCACGTGTCACACCGGTGCGCGGGCGCAAGCCCTAATGCATGCACACACGCACACACACAGGGGCTAAAAAGACGCTTTCGCGATCAGGCAGCACGTCTCGCCGCCTTCGCAGCAGCCCGAAGGGGCACGTCAGCTACTCCTGGTGCTGACCGTCAGGATGGAATTTGAACGCCAATCGGTTATTACCGTCGCTGCTGCCTGATACTGCCCCTGCGCTGCCCTCTACTGTTGGCCCTTCGTGCAGCGCCTGCAGGCACACATGCAAGCAGGAACATTTGCGGCATCTAATAAGCCGATCACAAATGAATTGCATACGCGGTGGTAGATTGACGTTGGGATTTGTTTGTGTGCATCGTAAGGGCGCCTCTGACATGGTCGGCGGAGCGGGATGTACCACTGCTGCCATTATGACGGTGGCGACACGCTGATCGACTTGGGTGAAAAACGCAGGAAAGGCGCACGCCAAGGGCGGTGGAGTAAGTCCAGTATACATGGGGATTATGAAAGACGAGTAAAGGACTCCAGACGGATGACCTTATTAAAACTGTTAGTAGTTTTCCCATTCTACGGCCGCTAGAGTTAGAAGCCTAATGGCGTAACGAAGTGTACCATATGGAGTGGATTATTCAGCATGTTAAAAGGGCCCTTTCGACAAAATGAGCGGAAGTTGCAGGTTAGCAGGAGAAGCACAACACCCTTGCATACCGCCTACAAGTATGATCGGTGCAATGGGCCAACTTCACCGTAACAACATAATTCTGTTTTGGATTTCAACGAACTAATGAGTCCGTGAAAACTGAGTATCTGTATGCGTACACAGTAGTGAACTCAGTGGGCATTAGCTCAGTTTTGTGGGGGTTTTATTGGTCATTAGGCGAACATCTTTCAGGTTTTACGGTGATCAAGTAAACAATGCTAAAAGTGGACCGGCCACGGATCGAAACGACGACCTGCTATTGAAAGTTTAGTGACCACCTTATTTTTCCAAATATAACATCTTTCCAGCCCCAAGTTCATTCTGTCACTGCACATAGTTTGTTTTAGTTCGTCAAAATAAACTTCATGCGATCTTTTGAAATCCAAAGATATCTCTTCTTTGGAATTTCCTCTGCGGAGATCGTATTTTTATGAGATGGGAAAGATCGAATGTGGCTTTGTCAGAGGTACAATGTGCACGATAGTTTTGAAAAGGGCTTCAATTGTGTCAACCATCGATGGAAATACCGTTTCCATTTTTCACTCACCTCAGACTTCAACATGTCCTTAGCAGACCAATTTTTGAGAACGTTTCAACGTCAACCTATGATCACCTTAAAATAGGACTACGGAAGGAAATGCGTGATGATTGTGAAAGTGGCGAGACTTTGCTATCAGAAACTCCTGCGTCTTTTAAATCCACATCCAGACTTGAAGCAAACATTACGATCGCTCCATACTCCCAGATCTTCTAACAGAAAATGCCCACATTGACGCCTTGGTACCGAAAAGCGGAAAAAATGCAGAACTAAGAAAGCCACTTAAATAGTGGATATATTCAGAGCGCCACAATCAGTAGGCTAAGTCCTCAATTAGCAGGAAAAGATCGGAGATTTAGGGAAGGAATTATTACTTACAGAATCTTGAAGAAATCCTCTGGGGCAGTGGCCGATGGCGAGACCGGGGTGTGTGCTGGCAGTGTTAAATCATGCCTGGGTGAGGGTTGAACTATGGTGCTAACTGCTTTTTATATGCTCCGGAGCTAGGTCGAGACTGCTTCCGTCGAGTGATATGTGCTTTGTTACGAGAGGGATGGTGTGTCGAAGTATTTTTACGCTAGCTAAGCCTTGGTGTGTCCAAGTGGGGGTATTTACGGGTGTGACGGCTTGGATGCAGGTGAGCTTGAGCTGACGTCAACCGAGTGGTCGCAGGTCACCGCGTCCGGTGGGGCTGCCGTGTCGCGGGAGCCCTAGTGATAACGTCAAGTCACCTTACGTTTTCCGAGTCCGAAAGAAAACAGGGCGATTGACGCAATGACGAGGGGCGCCCATAGTTCTCAGCAGAGCTACTAAACCGCAAACTGTCATGCTTTATAGCATAAAGAGACTTCCAAACGGCCAGAGGACCCTCTTGCACGTAGTGAAAACTATTTTAAATCTCACTATCTCATTAGACGGACGACAGCGAGAAAGCCGAAGTTCTCATCGTAGTCATGCCTTTTTTTATTTTCAGTACATTTCATTGCTATTCGACCACCTGCGAGGGGCTTATCGGGAGCATCACTTGACAACGCAACTGCCGTAGTACTTCCAGAAAGGTGAATACCACAGCCGTATGACTTTCGAATCTGTCCCCCCAATTGCATCTTGATACAGCAATGTTCTGCAATCTCATCTTCTCTCCTAGCTCTAAATCCATGCTAGAAATGATTCGCGAGTTGTTCCAATACGGACTGTTACGTTCTCCTTTTACTCTAAGGCCCCCTTTATGATATTTTGTTGCCACATGCATTTGTTCTCTATATCCTAAGTTTCTGTTCTGCAGTTTATTTCAGGTCATTTGAAATGGGATACCTGCATACTGTTAAAGGGAGTACACGCTTTAAGGATAGGTAAATACCCTGATTTCACCAAAATTAACATTTTAAATAGGAGACGTTGTACCGACTGTTGACCCTTAGCGTCTTGCATACCTCAAGGGCCTAAAATGTGTTTTTTCTTATTTACTATCTCCAGCTCCAGTACTTCTTCAAAATGGGCTCTGTTATTCCTTAGATCTAATTTGATTTGAGCCTCGTTTGCTCGAAGTTTTTTGAAGATTTGGCGAAATGGAACGGTGAGAACTCCCCCGTCTTCCGAAATTAAATTTCTGGCCTTCGAAGCCACCGGTTAATCTCAGTAATGACCTTGAAGTGAGGCGCAGTTGGGAGGGCGACTTCAGAGGCGCTGACGATGCATTCTTACGTGGGCGCTCCTCAGGCAGTACGACAATGTTCTTATTAAAAAGTTGTCTTGCCAAGTAAATCTAATCCAATAGAGGTTTCAAATAGTTAGAAAAGGTGCGGGGCTACCGTAAAGTCTTTACGAGTGGGAGAATGTTCATAAGGACTGGTTTACGGATATTCAAGTAAACGCATAATATTTCGAGTGATAACAATGGACCTCTTTTATGCCATCCGCGCAGTACGCAATTAAATAGTTAATATGAAGTTTACGACACCAGTAAAAGTGATTCATTCATGCAATACCTCCGTCGATACTGACAGATGCAACCACGATGTTTATTCTCGAATTACTCCAGCCTGTGATTTGAAACGTAAGAACCTGCGTTTCCAACATGTTACAGGAGAAGTAATCAAGGGGATCAACGAGCTCGTATACTCTGGGTTAAGTTCCCTAATAGCAAAATGTGCTCTGAATGAGCTCGCAGGGAGCTCGTTTTGCGAGGCAGGCGAGCTCTGCTGGAGCTCTGAAATGGTAAGCGATCAGAGCTCATACGGAGCTCGCGAAAACGAGCCCAAAATGAGCTCTGAAAAACGGGCCAGCGAGGTCGTTCCGAGCTTGGCCCGAGCTCCAAAAAACGAGCTCCAGCGCTTACCCAAACAGGGGTTCCCCTCACTTGTGCTGCCCAATTCCCATTAATAACCGCCCTTTTTTCCCCGTAAGGTAAATATAGGAACACATGTTTGGTTTAGGAGAATTGTATTATAAAAAAATAGTTGTTAATATATCTGTGTTTTAATACAATAAAAGATTAAGCCTGTTCCTCTCTGTTGTAATCGGCGGCTTCTGTGATATTTGAGGACGGGTCTAAAAGGGAAAGATTTGGCAGTGGTAAGTAAACATATTAAGATTTATGTTACATAGTAATAGCATCAATATATTAATAGGTACCATTTGATTGCCTACTGTGCGATGCCCTATGGCATTTCCTTTGATAGCGATCGTGCCCCTTCTTAAACGCATTCTTAAATGCATTTTCTAATTGCTGGCGGTCTGAGTGGTGGTTCTTATTCCAGCGATTGAAGACCGCAAACTTTCACGAGGGCTTGGATCTTCCTCCTCAACTTCTGCCGTTATACCAACTTCTTCGTCCGTAGGCCCACTCGTACCCTCCGAGGAAGAAGAGCATTCATTCGCCATAGAAGTTGAGGACATAGTATCATCCGTGTTGCTTTCCGACCAACTACCGGATGATGTGTCCGACGACGGCATTTCACCCACCTCTTCGTTGATTCTTCGTATAATTTCTTCTGCTTCTTTAAGTGCTTGGCGCCGTATTTTACGCCTATTAACAGGAGTAAACATTATTGTGAGAAAAATGGGAGCACGGAGAACACAAAGAAGAGTGATACAAGGCAAAGACAGGCAATGGCAGCGTTGACTGGGACACGCCGGAATTCCGACGTATCCAGAGTTCGCTAGGAGAAGTGTTGATTGATTTATCCTCATCGTATAACAGGACGCGGGAATGTTGAAGGACTGGACTCGAAACTCAGTGACCAGCAAACCATCTTCGGGCCCTGACACCTCCCGGCTTTAGTTGGACTATGGACTGCTAGCGGTCGTTTCAGTCCTTATCTGCAGCATTTCTTGAACTCAATTAAGAAGTTTATTAACACGTTCTGTTTACTCCTATCCGTATTAGCATAAAGTGGCATCATAATTGATCGCCGCAAACCTTGTCAAAAGCAGGCATTCTCATTCGAGTAATCTTTGAAGAATAAAACAACTTTTAGACAACTTTCTAATTCATCATCAGGTAAACTGTGTACTATTTACATCTATTTCTGCCGAAATTTTTTGGATTTGGGAGTCTTTTGAACGGTATTTTGAGGCACGCTCAGTTCCAGCAACAGTTAACAAATCCATCTCTTGATCAGGCTTTCCCTTCTCTACCTTATGCGCCTCCGGCTCACCTGATACATATATTCTTTAATACTAAAGGATTTCTAGTAAAATGTTCGTGTCCTCCACTTTCAGGACTAGATTTCTGACTTTACTGTGGAAAACTGCAGATCTTGCATAATGGCATGTTCTGTTACTTTGATATGTGACAAACCCTCAAGTCCGTTCAACAGTATCAGTTCATTGCGTCCGCCATTCAACGAATGGGTTATCTTCCTTTAAAACAATAACGAATTAGTATTTGTGTTCCAAGACTTAATGATCCCCACTTAGTCATAATCAAAAACCTTTAATTGGAAACAAAATCACTTTCAGTATTAAGTCTATAGTTTTTGATAAAAGCCAAATTCATCTGTGACATTTTCAAAAGTCGTATTATGATAAGCGTCAGTTACGCAGTGATGGCCTTCCACAATTCCCAGAGTTCTATTGGGTCCCACTATAAAAATATTAATTCAGAAATAAAGCACTATAAACACTGGCTCTGTGTCTGACTAGATACATCGATTCTGTCCACATATTCTACACAGTATTATCGATTCTCATGTTGGCTGAACCAACCCCCCCAGACGCAACTGTTCATGTCTCTCTACGAAACTTCTTTTTAAACAAACCCTCTTAGGCGTCGTGAGAGTTTACTAATTCAAGCGAAGGGGCGAGTTCCAGGAGATAGTCGTGGAGAAGGAGCCACAGTCGCTGGAACAAGAGCTTTATTAGCCTGGCGATTCGGATTCGCACCAGCCAATCATCAGAGGCAGAGTCATATAGGGGTGGTATGTTGCCCAGGTGTTGCAGTATTTAGAGGATGTAGTTGTTAGCCCGCTACGTGCATATCGCAGTTGGAAGCTCCCGAGTGCATTACGGATCGACTGGCTGGGTGTTAAAGCTTGCAATTGCCGTGCAGTTGCTATACTCATGTGTGCGGTCAGGATTATCGATTCCCACGTTCATCGCACGTAGTCGAGTTGCTGACAGCCGGATTTCGGCATCCGTGTGGGCGCTCAGGCAATTTGGCTGTACCCGCGGCTAACTATTTTGCCTAGATAAAAGTCTCAGCGTCGAATATAAAGCGGGGAGGTCATTGCGCTTATTGATTAACTGATAACCGGAAAACCAGGACTCGAGCAGTTAGCGGCTCACGCGGTTGTCATATCTAGCGAGAATTTATGCTTCATCCAACTTGAATGTGTGGCTGGGTCCCGTCGAGTGAGCCGATATTTGGGAGCTGGCGTCTTTCCTCCTTACCGCTGCTGCGTGCTCGGCCATTCGCGTTCGCAGTAGTCTTCCGATTTCCCCGACATAGTTGATTTGTCCACAGCTGCACCAGGCACGGTAAACGACTCCAGATGTTTCTTGCCGTGGCAATGGGTCTTTCGGCCTCATAATCTGGCGCCTTATGGTTGCCTCCGGTCTGTGTGCTACTCCAATTCCAAAGGGTATGAAAAGGCGGCTGACGGCTTCCAAGACATTCTTCCCGTACGGGAGGGCTCGTCAAAATTTGGGGTCAGTTGGATTTTGTCTTTCGTCTCGTTTGCGCGGGCACTGGTTGACGAAGTTGCGCGGGTAACCATTGGTTTTGAATACCCGTCGAAGGTATTGTAATTCAGCAACCTTGTTTTCCGGTTCACTGAATTGTGTCTCCACACGCTGGTATAATGTCCTTACGCAACTGCGCTTGTGACTGATTGGGTGGTTGCTGTTGCAGCTCAGTATTTGCGTCGTGTTTGTTGCCTTCCTGAATACTTTGGTTTTAGGCCACCACAATCTTTGCGGCAGACGAAGACATCAAGAAAGGCCAGCTGGTTATTTTCCTCTTCCTCCATCGTAAATTGGATATCCAGGAAGATGGCGTTTAGATGTTCTTTGAATTCCATCCCACGACCCCGTTCGATGACGACGAAGGTATCATCCACATACCGAGCCCAAAATTTCGGTCTGTTGTGTCGGAAAACTAGCAACTCCAACCGTTGTAGGACCGCCTCGGCTATGAGTCCCAAAATCGGCGAACCCATTGGCGTGCCTTTCACCTTCTGGTTGATTGCTTCGTCGAACGTAAAGTACGCCTTGAGACAGAACTGCAGAAGTTGGAGGATTAGAGCATGTCCAAGGCGATTCTCCGTTTCACCGTATTTCTCTCGTAGGAATAGTTTGGTGGTCTCGACTGCCAGATCCTGCGGAATAGGAGTAGAAAGGGACGTGATATCAAAGGATACCATTACATAGCTTGGCAGGCGGCCTACCCCTTTAAGTTTCCCAAGAATTGTGTTGACGAACTGACTGTAGTGTCTGAATTAGCGGTCAGAAATTTGGGACGCCAAAACAGCCACTTTTTCAGCCCGTAAGTTGGAGTACCTTTGAGTGAGACAATGGGCCGGAGGGGGACACCCTCTTTGTGCACCGTGGGAAGGCCATAGAAGTTGGCCAAGACCGTGTCCTGGGCTCTCGCCATGCGACGGTCAGCCGGTGATATTGCGCCCGAGTTTCCGATGCCAATCCTTGTACAGGTTTGGCGTTAAAACGCTTAGCGCACGCAGGGCCAGTACAGTTACTGCGGCTAATTAATTATCCACGGCCTGATTCAAGACACATAATTGCTCAGCCTCTTAGTTGCAACTGCCGCCACTTTTATCTATGGATCCCAACAACTACGGCGCAGAAACAGTCCCCCGCCAGCACAACCTTTTCTGATAGGTTATGAAGCTATCTAATTTATCCCTGAAAACAGTTGCTGGTGCAGGTAAAGGTGGAAAACGGAGGCAAAAACTCAAGCTTTTAGGTCATTCGGCGCGTGAAAAGGTCTAGTTTACCTTACATTATTATTCAGTGCTGTCCCTCATCAACGATGGCAGCGATAACAGTGAATGTATCCGTTAGACGTCTATAAGCGAACAATAAACAGCACAAAAGGCCAAATAACTTCAGGGAAGGTTGCCACAACAGAGAATGGAATTGAAAGATTTAAAAAGGTAAGTCGAAAAGTGGTAAATGTTCTAGCCGAGCACCGATCAGGCTTCCGAAATCTTGCATAACACATAAAAATTATATTTCACAGTAACAGTTAATGAGAACGTATAGTGAACAATCTAAATTGTTGGCCGGGGTAGCTGACATATTTTAAATGAAAAGAACCCGGTGTCCGAAAGCTTAATTCCGTCCAAAAAATACTTTCCTCTGTCTGGATTTCCTATTTCTCAAAGTATACGCTTACAGGGCATATAAGAACTAAATACAACTGGCCAGTTGTCAAAGCAGTCTGAAATAAAGGTTCTCAAAGCAAACTGGATATTAATTCAATTGGGCTATACGTAGACGACATTCTTATACTTCTTGTTATATTAATTTATTTCAGGAGGCATTATTCGCCACTGCAGCCAAAGGAACCGTACAAATTTCAGCACTTGGCTGATTTAAAAGAAAACTGGAAGACTCGGACGTTCTCGCATTATGGCCGAGAGTGGAATCGAAGAAAGTGGAGCAAGAGCCAGGTGTTTGACTGGCAAAAAAAAACTAATTGTTTTGAGCAAATATGGCAATATTTAAATGTTGCGCACACCAATAATTTACATATGGACTGTATCCTGAAAAAACTGCCAAATGCAAATTTTCCGAAGAATAAGGGAACTATTTAAGGTGACATATTGAGAGAAAAGCAGTATTAATTTCCTGCTCAAATCGATACCAAATCGAAAAGTCAATATTTTGCTTGGATCTTACCTGTCGCCCGTGTCCCTACAATTTGCGAGCGGGAGATGCGCTGAGCAAAATAAGTCCAGATCGGGGTACAACAAGCGTTAATTAGGCTGCGCACTCACAAAAAATGCCACACCTTGAACGACGTGGGTGTACGTCTAGGTGCGGGCCCACGCCGCGTCCAATCTCGCATCTGACGTTTGACCGGCTTGGTTCGTGGACTGGTACCTGAGGGAGGGGAAAGCAAGGCAGATTCAGGTAAGTCCGTTCCCAGGCTACTCAGGGCATATTTTTCACTGTAAACGATCTAATGCGTTTTTAAACTATCGCGGCTAGCCAAAAGTCGTGGTTTCGATGGCTGCTAACTGATGATGTAACCCAGTCCTCCCAGAACGGAGGGTGAGTCTGCAGTAGCTCCCTGATAACGGCACTACCGCTCTAGTGAAATCCCAGCGGCCTCTTTCCATGTTTCTGTTAAGACCGGGTTCATCATGTGAGGACCAGACGCGTGTGGCGCGCACAGACGAATCGTCCGGCTTTGGCAGCCACCGCGCGCGATAGCGTCCCTGGCCTTCATGACTTTGCCCAATATCGGACTCAGGTGGGCGAGAGAGGAGAGGGCGCGGTGGATGCTGCACAAGTCTACTATCACAATAAACTAGTTTATGCGCAAGTCCTGATCCCTGCGGTCGCTATGCTGTAGGGCAGACGGTGGACATTATCGTTCTCGACTGTCGAAATGTCACCTGCCGCTTAAGCCGACCCTTCAACGAGTTGGTGCTGACCATCCGTGATGGCGACCAGCTGTGTTACTGCCGGCAAGAAATGTTTGTTCCCTGCTGGGTCAGAAAGTGAATTCGCAGTCAGATGAGACTGCCATTGGTCCGGATCTGACTTCTACGAGTGCATTTCAGCGCCGTTATTTTACTTCATTCTTATGGATTTAACATGGATGACGAAAAATTTCGCAAATTCCTCCCTGCTTGGCTGGTTTCAATCGTTCATGGTATTAAGATCACGTGCGCTTGGTTGTAAGAGTTCGGGGTATACGGTACGTGATCGTTGCTGTGGTACACATTGGGAAGAATGCCTGCCTATACGAACGATAGGCTTAAAAAAACTATCAGCCTCCTATCGCACAGGTTAACCTGACCTCATCAAGGGTAAGAAAGGGCTTACCGCTAGGTATTCTGGGAAGGGCAATGAAAAAATTTACACTATAAAACTCGTAATCTAAGTGACAAAGAATAATCCATGCCTACTTCTTACATTTGACTCTCGGTAAAAAATACTGGCATCTGTCTGCGATGGGTAAGTTTAAATTTAACTATTCCATAAGAAGGACTGTATTTCCGCCATCTTGTCATTATCATCTTGCCAACCAGGAGTGCACAGCTTCTCTTCTAGTAACGATATGCGGGTGACAACTAGTCGCCCCACGGCGCTGGCAACATAATATCCGATCCTTCCGTACTTACTCGACCAAGGAAACGGAGAGAGAACACTACTGCTGGCATGACGTTCATTTATTTATCCAGGCTGCAGTGTGAAACATAAGTAATGTCGCTTAATCTTTAAGATTCAATGTACAACGCTTGTGGACAGATCCTGGTTTAAACTTCGTGCCCCTACAGGGCCGGAGGTGAGGAACAGGCCAGAAATAGATTTTTTATTAAGTTTTGTCGTTGTTGGCCGTTGTGTTGTAGAAGCGAAAAGTGCTTATCTCTAGAGGAAAGTGGAGTTGTTGAACTACTAACAATAATTTTTCCTTGGGAATTTAATCGCTCTGCTCCTATATTCCGCAGAAATATGAGAGCTGTTGAACCCCTGCGTCAGTTCTGATGTTGCGACGGGCAAACCTGCCAAAAAAGGGCTGGTCTAGGCTATGCGCGAACCAAATCTTCAGCGCTTCCAAAATCTCACCACGACCAATTTTCCATCCGAGATGATTGAGCTGACTTTCACGTCCCTTACACTATCGCCACCTTTCCTCTCCTTTGCATATTTTTAACCTGATTATTTCACGTAAACTCATCTAGTTCTAACTAGTCGGTGCTCCTTACCTCCGCGTTTTCTCGATCTATCTGTTCTCATTTATCCGTTTATCCTCCTCCTCCTCCGCCTGCTCCTTCTCCTCCTCATTCTCTTTTTTCTTACTAAAAATCTCCACGGGGTGACTTACCTCGTGCAATCAGACTGACAATGAACGGATTTTGAAAAATCAGTAATGGACTTTATTTTCCGAAGTACTGTTGCGGTGTTTAATAGGAACACAGCAGTCCATTGTTCTGCCATTCAAGTCAATTAACCCTGGCAAACAAAGTGTTATCCAACCCCCTACTCTTTGAAAGCGGCTTCTGGGCAACCGAGGCAGTTCTCTTCATTTAAGGGACATTACCCTATACTTTCATATGAAGAGTTCCGCAGGTGAGGAAAAAGACTGCCCTAGCCTCTTCAAAAACGAACATTTTCTACTTAGTTATCTGTTCACCCATAGTTAATCCTGACTTGGGCACATCATATGTAAAATGCTTAAACTCCAAATATTCCTTTCCCTTACTTCGAATATTGCAAATATTACCCATTTTGGGCCTCAAACTAAGTTGGCCAATTAGTACATGACATATGAATTCTGGCAGTTTAAAGCAGTGGGCTGGCAATGATTTTCACGTAGGACTTTCATTCAACTTCTTATTCTAAACCCGGTATTTCGATGCTTCACCAACTTCATTTACTTTTGGGGGAGACCTGGCTCCGTTACGTAGCAGACGTTTCAAAGAAAGCAGCCCTGCTTTAATGTAGAACGTACTCCAACTGGCTCATCGCCTGAATTCATTGGATAACTGTCTCATAAAAATAACTCAAAATATCGCGCCAAGGTCCTAAGAATTATTGCAAAGATAGGGTTTTCTGTAGGAAGACAGAAGCAATTCCCATTAAAACGATTGCTGAAAGATTATTTTCTTCATATGAAGGGAGATTCTCAATGACACAAAAAAGCAGTTTTGCAAAACCGAATAATTTTGAAGGAGCAACTCAACTCAAGAGCGATTCCCGCGGGCAAAATGTAATTAGTACAAGCAGTAACAGGTTGTTTATCTGTTTGAGATGCACGATTCCATAAAATGCAGCGGCACAATTCGATTTTTGTACAGACTTTTCGAAAAATCATCCTCAAACCATAGCAAACTAACGAGAGTTCTGGGTTAACAAGAAGTAGTGTGACATTTTTGTTTCCGGTTGCCAATGTGTCACACTCTGATTCATGAGGCTAGTGTCTTTCAACATGATCGCAAAGAGAAGCCAGAAAACACCAAGAATCAGGCATCTAAAATTGCTGCCTTTATATACGGCCTGGAGGTTAGGCCTGTGATAAAGGAGATGTGTGCTTTATAATCAGGTATCTGAGATAATCTCTGGAGTATGTTTAATTTAGACGAGCCAAGACTTCTTGATCTAAGACCCACGTGGTTTCCACAGCCGAACTTTTTGAGCGAAGTTCAGCCTGTCTTAGGGTATTCTGCTT